GAAATACTTAGGATTCTGTGCAGGAAAAAAATTGCAAAATTTCAAAAACAGTTCTCCGTCTATTAAACTCTTTTTCAAATCTACGAAGAATGGGTGAGCACATTAATAATGATCGTGCTCAATTGCAGTAACCGTATATAGTGCTGACAGGCGCCGTGAGCAGTAGTCCGATATTCTTACACCCCTCGTAAATTCCGCGCACTGTTTTTTCCAATAATCCATATATTTGGAAGCGATAAATGGGGAACTTGAATATGCATTGCAAGTTCTTTTCAAAGGAGGTCACATATGGATCTTTCCGCATGAAATCGCACCTGGAAGTTCGATTCTTAATCGAAACAAGGAGGTCTGTCTCAATTATTGTAATACCTTCCAAATGGGTCTGTTTATGAGTTACAGGGGGTTTCCAAAAGGTCGCACAACAGTGCTGAGATATGAACTGATTTCTTTTGTTGTTGAAAGAACTACAATGAAGCGAAGAGAACGTGAAGATGGCAACTCAGTTACAGAGTTTTATTTCTCTTTTCCCCACTTTTTACCCTCTCCAAAGACGAGCTTTTCCACTCAGACGACAATAATTTTGATGTTTCCTTTACCGAAGAGGTCAATGCTCAGTTCGCACATATGCTATTTGCATCACCTCACGTTGATGTGAGCGTTCGTTTACCTCAACTTTATTTCCTAATTAGAGTGCTTTGTCTCGGTTCCAATAGTAGCAGGAAATAGAAAGAATATTGAAGTATAGCATCATCTTTCTTTATTTCAGGAAAAGTGTTGTTGGCACATACGCCTGGATGGCTCCTGAAGCATATAAGTTTCAACAGTACTCCGAAGCTTCTGATGTTTGGAGCTACGGTGTTGTGCTGTGGGAGTTGCTTACCCGCAAGGATCCTCATCAAGGACAGCTGCCCATAACAGTAGCTTACATTGTGGGTTTTTCAAATTTTTGCAGCAAGAAAATATTTATGATTTTCTGTTTTTGGTCTGTCCTATTTATGTGCGATTTTTCTCGAAATTTTCAGGTTTCGACTAATGGAATCAATTTACCAATATCTGATGACTGCCCCCTCAAATGGAAGGACATTATGCAGAGCTGCTGGAATGCAAGTTTTTGATTGTGAAGCTGTTTTGCTTTTCGCTCAACTTCGTTTTTTTTCTATTTTGTATGATATATTTACAATTGTTAGAGAAGTGAGGAAATTTCAGGTTGATCCAGAGAAGCGACCCACCTTTGCTCATCTTTTAGATCAGTTTTTAGAATATCAAGAAGAATTGGAGCGCAGTGGCTTCTCGGTAAACAATTTGGAATCGTCGTTTACCTTCTGCTATTTGTAGTAGAAATTTGTTATGACCTTTTTTTTTGTAGGAAGAACAGGAAGCTCTCGTGCAACGAGTACATACTGATATTGAGAAAGAAATCACTCAGTTTTACGTCAAACTGAATCGCGACGAGGGACACGAGTGAGTATGACAATCTTACCACGCTACATTATTTTATGTTTCAAGAATGTTTTGCTTACTCTATTTTATATAATCGCACTTTTTCTAAGGAAAATGCGGATGATGTGTGAAAAGCTATATGAACAATTGGAAATAAGGGGTGATGGGCGTTCAAAGCTACCGGAAGCCGCCGCACCTGAAGTTCGGGAGCGACGTCGGGGCAAAAAGAAGATTGAGAAACAAGATATATCAAAACCTCAGGGTACGTTTCTATAAAGAT